ACCCACCCACCCTAATAACTGCAGCCCCTGTGTGCCAGGAAGGGTCCAACCCACATGTTGTGAGAGGCTCCATGCTTAAGGGACCGAGACCTGGAGTGACAGATAAAAAGCACCCGGTAGTGAGAGACCATGGACAATGTTTTTTTTGGGGGGTGGTGGTGGATATTGGTGAAATTACTAAGGCCACTCCACGTAGTTAAAAGGGAGGTTTATTTAGTGGCGTAACTTACAAGTGAAGGGATAGGTTGCAGGGTCTAGGAAAGGCATAGCACAGTCCGGCGGTGTTCTCTGTTCAGTCTACCTCCAGCATCCAGGGTCCAGGAATCAAGAGAGCTGGCACATCCAGATCTCAGGTCTTCAGGGTCCTCTCTTGGCCCCACCTTGTAGGCGTGACAGTTACCGAAGCCTCAATGGGGGCTGGAACTTCCAGATCAAAGCTGGAATGGCTACCCACCACAGGGGGATTCTTGTTCATCTGCTTTTGGAATAAGGGGTCCACTTTTTTTATGTTGTGCTGGCTCCAACAATGCCACACAGCAAATCCAACATCCCCACAGTCATCCCAGTGTTTTCTATTTTATCTGCTCAGTGACATTCTTTCAAATAACTCTTTTACAGGGGCCACAGACTTTCTCTGTAAAAGACAAGAAAGTAAAATAAAATAAGATAATGCAGCCTTTGTGGTCCTACAGTCTCTGTGGCAACCACTCACTCTGCTATTATAACAGAAATTAGCCATGGGTGGTACACTAATGATCGGACATGGCCACATTCAATAAAGCTGTTTGTGCTTTGTGACAGTTTTCACGTCAGCAAAAACTTCTGTGAGTTTTTTTTTTTCAACTATTAAAAAGGTGAAAAACAGTTTTAGCTCCTAGGCGTTACAGATATCAGCAGGCTGAACTCGGCCCCTGGGATGTAATATTGTGAGTCTTATAAGTAAATACGTGTTTGAAAAACAGGAGGTGTGGGTGCTAGACCATCGGGAAGAGAAATGCCATACAGAAGAGGTGCCCCAGTGGACACAGTTCAGTTGATACATGGACACTTGGCAGGTTTCATCCGTAAGTTCGCGGAACTTGCAAAAACTTTTCATTTTACCTAGAAGCTTAGCAACATTCCATTTGTGTAGATAAGAAATTAGAACAGACTCATATTAAAATTTAAGTCCGTGTTCTCAGTCGCCAATTCTATTATCACTACAGTCTCTATTGTTTATTCTCATTGCTGTAATTTCAGTTTCCATAGACATATTCTTTTCACTACAAGAGCTTTGGTTCTCTGCATTTTGAGGCACTGTTCCTGTGTCTTCAGATTTCTTCTAAGTATAATCTTAAGTGAATCGTTTGTACTCTCTCAGCCATTGCATTGTGGGATAGTTAAGGGATGCTTATCTGACAAACTCTCCCAGGATCCCCTTGGCCTAGCATGAAGGGGGTTTGCTTTCAATTTTTCATAAAACCCAAGGAGAGTTGCGTCACCTTTCTTCACTGCAAACATATTGTCTAGATACTAGGCTTACTTCTACCAATTGGCAGTTGCTCACATAGTCCATAAGACTCAAACCACATAGGTGAAGATGTGCGTGCTTAATGTGGCTATGGTTGTATTGCACACTAAAGCAGTGCATGTCTGAAATGCTTTATTTGAATGTGGGTCGCCAAGTGTTTTCTCCAAAGGGTCAGGCAGCAAATATTTAAGTATTATTGGTAGTGTAATTATTCAGTGTCCCCAATGTGACATGACATCAGTCATGAACAATGAGTGAATAAATGGAGTGGTGTCACAGAAACAGGAAGACAGCCTAATTTGGACCATAGGTCATGATGCCATTGTGAGTTGACTCCAATCTCAAAGCATTACTAACAAATAATCTTCATGTTCATTGCTTCCCCTGCTCAGGAAGCTTTGGGCAATCACTACCTCTTCCTTGTGTCTTATGTTATCTAACAATATGGTCCATAGTCATTTCGGAGAATGTAGGTGAGACTGAGGTCAGATGGTCTCTGCTCAGTGGTTTCCCTTCAGAGTTTCTTTCACTCTGTCTTCTAGTCTCAATATTCTTCCTCTGGAGCTACGTTTTCAGAGTGAGATCATAGTTCCTGGCTCAAATAAACAACAAGAGATATCATATAGAGTTGTATGAGTATGAACATGTCTTGAGTAGTCTGCCTTGGGTAACTCAGGCGTACAAGTATGCATCTCATGTACTTCTGGTGTAGATGGTTAAATATTTGTCTTTCCCACAGAATAACTTGTCTGCTGACATTCACCCAACTGAGAAATCTGTCACTGGAGGCTTCCAATCCAAAATCAACTGTCACAGCCTATCATATGCCAAGTCCTAAAAAGTTAGCTCCATTACAGTCTTCTGAAAACACACTGTCCCCAATCCCATCACCAACATTTTTATACTGCACGAGCCTTCGATGTCCCGGTTGGAATTGCCCAGCTCCAATCATTGTTTAAGTACTAAAACAAGTTTACTAAAATATTATAATCCCAAATCACTCTTCTTTGTCAGTGTAGTTCCTTAAAATATTTTCATAAAGACCAAAATCCTTTGTGTGGCAAAGTAAGTCCTTTATGTCTGGACATCTAGAGTTTCCATTATTTCATTTCCTGAACACGACATGACTTTCATATACTTTGTATCACAGTCAGCATGAACCTTGCTGACCTTTGACCTTGCTTTCTATCTTTGTGTGTGTGCATGTGCATGTGCATATGTTGTGTGCCCATGTGTCTTCCAACTCTGCTTCCTCAAGATTCCGCTCGGTTGTGAGTCAGCTGGCGGGGTGCTTTTTTCGGACCCTCCCTATGATAGAAATCCACCAGTGGATTCCCTGACTTTTGTGTTCCCTTCCTGCAGCTCCTTTGTATACTGTACTGCCTCTTAGCCCATACATCATTTCTCCTCCCACTGAAGAGCTATAATGTCACTTTTTTATTGCTATTACAATACTTGCCCTGTTGTCTGCAATTAAGTGTACACTCAGCAATATTTGTAGGATGAATTAATGCAGCAAAATTAGCCTATTTATCTTCATAATTACATAACAACTTGTGTTTTAATGCAATTAGAATTGTGGGCAGCCGAGGTTTAGAAACATACATTTAAGAAACATTTAGATGGAGATCATATACATCATCAGTCTTGACCTTTAGAAGGCTCATGGGAAGGAACATTAGTGAGAAAGCAGTCCATTGCCTGTATATAAAGATGAAAAAACCCCCACAATACAAAACACAATGCACAGTCTTGACTGATGGACATATCTGTTTCTGTTAGTGCTCCTGTAATAGCTTGTGCCTCCTTAATGGCTGCCACAGAGCACAGTGGAAAGGACATTGGATGTGAAACAGAGATTCAGTAGCCCCAAGGGCAGACATTTCATGAGAAACCAAGCCTGACATTAAATCCTCATCTTTCATACTTCAAAAGCAACTGAATCTTGTGTGGGTACTAATCTGAATTCTGTTCCTGAGTTGTGCCATAATAATAAATGACTTGCGTGCTCCCATACAACAATATTGCGCCTCTCAAGCTTTTTTAAAAATAACAAAATTATGAAAGACTAAAGCATATTGTGATCACTTTGTGCCCTCTATATATTTTTAGACATCTACTTTAAAAATAACACGTGGTGACGTAGAAGAGACACGGTATTTGAGTTTCTGTAAGGTAGTGATCCAAACATTTTGGAGAAATGAAAGCACTACTAAACCAAAGGTTATTGTACTATGAAGAAAGTGAATGGATGATAAACTTTATTGCATAAAAGTTACATTTACTCTCCTATTATTTATTACAAGAAAGAATATTTCACTTATATAAATGAGAATCGTAAAAAGTAAAACTTTTATTGGGTTTTGGAAAATGTACATAGATCTGAGGGCCAAAGGAATACACTTTTTCTTAAGTACAATGCACTAAGCTCTAGTGGGCAGGAAGAATGGGAAAATGATTAATACTGTTATAGAAAAAACCCAGAAGGTTCCTACAGGGAGTAATCTGTGACCGATGGAGAGCATAGATTATATCTGCAATTGCTCCATGATTTTAACTTTTATGTTTAAATTGACTTTTCTTGCTATTTGGGGATTAATTAAAATCCTTAAGAAAGAAAATCAAAGTTCACTACAAATACCAAGTAGATTCTTAGATCCTAGAAAATGTCCCATATAACTTTACTTAATTCTCATGATTTAATTCCAGCATATGGTACTTGGGGATAATATCTAATGTCACCAAATCCTTGGACTATATAAAGAATCAAAAAATGGAACTGCCTTAATTATACTTCAACGTTGAAGGGAACTTTTGATATTAGACTCTGTATCCTCAGGGTCTAGTGAATGACAGATGTTTAATGACTGTTAGTGGAAGGAAAGGTGACTTAAAGTTGTAACTTTCAAAATTGATTATTAAGAACAATGCTCTGTATTTGATTTTTGTGATCGTCTGTGGAAATCAAATGGCCTGAAGTAGTATATCAACTGTGCCATAATAGTTTTAATTATACAACTTTTTGCTATCATCAACTGATTGGTGTTTCTTTGTGCTGCTCTGTGCTGGCTAGTTTTATGTCAACTAGACACAAACTAGGGTCCTCAGAGAGGAGGGAGACTCGATTGAGAAAACTCCCCTATAAGATTGGGCTGTAGGCAAGTCTGTAGGGCATTTTCTTAGTTAGAAATTGATGAGAGAGGGCCCAGCCCATGGTGGGTGGGCTCATCCCTGGGCTGGTGCACCTGGGTCCTATAAGAAAGCAGACTGAGCAAGCCGGTAAGCAGCCCCTCTCCATGTCCTCTGCATCAGCTCCTGCCTCCAGGTTCCTGCCCTGTTTGTGTTCCTGCCCTCACTGCTTTTGTTGGTAAACGGTTTCATGGATGTGTGAATGAAATACACTTTTTCTTCCTTGAGTTACTCAGACAGTGAGGGAGGGTTAAAGGCAAGTATGATTGTATTAATATTCTTGTCATCTTGCTTATTTTAGCCAAAACAACGGACATCTATTGTGTCTTCTCTGGATTTCCAACGAATGAATCATAACCAAGAATACTTTGAAATCAGCACATCTGCAGGGTGTACCAGCTTTCCGTCTAGCCCTCCAGTTAGCCCACCCACCTCTTCTGTGGGAACCACAGAAGTCAAGAACGAGGGAGCTGAACACACAGGTAAAACAGTTCATCTTATACAGGTGTGCTTTTGAGCTTCAACAGAGTCGTTAAGAGCTCTGGTGACTAAGAGCAATCTTCTTACAAACTTTATTTCTGGTTCACATCATATGAGCAGCAGTATAGGGTATTGATATTTTTATCATGGCATGGGCATAATATTGTTCTTAATGTGATAGAGGTCTTTTCAAGTGTTTACATTAATATAACAATTTAATAGTATTATGGTTGTAAAACAACCAAGGACCTAGAAATGCTTTTTTTCTTCCATTTCCATTCACGGCTCTGCCAGTTTCATCAGCTAATCAGCACATGGGCCTGTTGATAGCTGCTTTGAGACTGGAGAACCCATATCAAGGATATCTGGTAAGACTGAGTTGGACACTGTTGCTAAGATACATGTCACCTGTTTAGACCCAAGTGAACTTGGAAAGGAGGGGTCGAAGGAGAAGTAGTACCACCCACCAGGGAAAGCATTCTGGTTCTATCCAATCAGATTTGTGGTATTTATATCCTTTGGAGAAGAATGAGCTAAGCTAACTGGTAAGACTGAGGGACATCCAGGACTAGGACTCGAACAGTGTCTTCCTCCTCTGTCTATGTCACAGCAAACACAATATTCATTTGCTTTTGTCCAAAGAGTTTAACTTGGTAGATATTATTAACATTCATTTTAGAATCGTAGAGTATAGCAGTCAGTATAGGTGATCCATTAGTTTGAACATGTATCTGTTCAAACTCTCTGCACATAGATATATGCATATATATGTACATGTTTAAGTCTTTTAACTGACACTACTATTAAAAGCACCAGCACAAACATTCTAAAAAAATATACAGCCAAAGAATTATTTCCTCTGAGGTGCCACGTGGTAAGACTCTAGAGACATCATAATCCAACCTTTCATGGCAGCCAGAGAGATATTTATAAAATGGAAATCAAAGCACACCATTGCTGTGTTTAAGGTGTGCCAAAGGATTCTGGTCCTTGCCATGGCCAATGGAGCCAGCTGTCACCTGGTTCCCAGCTCGCTCTTGAATTTGACCTTTAACATGCTCACCCAGGCCTTCTGTGCTGGGCATCGGCAGCAAAGGGTCTTTGGCATTCCGGTTCCTTCCACCTGCAGACTCTGTCTACTAATGTTGATGGTTTGGAGTATATTTAGGCTTTTGACTTGTACCTACTTCTTCATGTAAGCTTCAGATTGTACTATCTTGAGTAGAAGTTCTTACTGTGATGGGAATCATGGTAAGAAAGAAGCAAAAAAAAGTTTGTTTTTTTAAAACAGTTCCTATAATAATAAAAAGCAAATACTTGGTGCTCTGTCAGACAGTGTTTTGGGTATTTTCCTTATGTCAACTCCTCATGACCTTTTGATGGGCATACGGGTTGAGAAGTAGTCTCTACAGTGAAGGAAATTCAGACACACAGACCAACCACGCATCCAAATGGGACATTCAAACCTGGTGCCAGTGTCCCTGTTCCCAACTGCTTTCTCCATCACTACATTCACTTTGGTGATATTTGGGGAGCCCAGGCTAGCCTCACACTCATGGTCCTACCTTAGCTCCCTACGTGCTGGGACTTGGGGTGTGTAGCACCACACCTGACTGGCTCTAGTCACTTCTATCAGATCTTTCTCTTTTCTTCCTTCTATGGTCTTATCTGTATGTAAGATGATGCTGATGGCCTTTTGGCTTAGCTACTGTCTTCTCCCTTCTTTCTAGAATGCACAGTGCAGGAGATGGGTCTGGCCCATGGTAAGCCCTGAAGTCAGGCTGCCGAAATTGATTGCTAATTATGAGACAAGCTCGGCTTTTGGTGCTACAGCTTTTCTTCTCTATAAAGAACAAGGAACTAATTAGATTTCCTTAGCCAATAGTGTAACATGCTTATAAAGCAGCGATTAGCATAATGCCCTATCAACTGCTGAGTTAGTGCCCAATAAATAGTAGTAACTGTTCATTGTAGTAGCAGGAAGTATGATAGTCTCATACCTCTCTTTTTTCTACTTAGACCTCACATTCATTCAACTGAGTATATACTGTTTTCTGTATAACAGAACAATTTATAGGATGAGAAAGTGGGATGTGCCTTCTAAAGAGAAATGGCATGTGAGCCCTGGAAAGGACTCTGGGCATATATAATTACTATTCAACCAGAACTTACTTGATACTCAGTTCCAGATTTTAAAGCCCCCAGTGGGAGAGGTGGCAAATATTGCTATACTTGCCTTAAGGAAAATCTTTATCAGCTTTATTTTATTTCAAGGACAAAATGTTTTTAAGGATTCACTTTTTTCAATTATCTTTTGAGGTTGGTGAAGATTTTGCTTGTTTGTGTTTTTTTTTCTCATTAAAAACCAGAGTTGTGGGTATAGAATCTAACCCCTGACCCCCAAGGGGAGAGGGTGAGAACTCTCATTTACTACGTCATCCAAAATGTGCAGAGCAATTGTAGCCTTAGGATGCTTTCCGGTCTGACCTTCAGCTGAGCTGAAACATAACCTTTAGTTGTTGAAAGGGTTCCAGTAGTGTTGCTGTGACTTTATAATGCAATACTGCAATACTCACCTCCACAACTCACTGCAGCCATTGTAGTGAACTAGCACTACAGTACTCACCTCCACGGCTTGCCACAGTGCTCATGTCCACGGCTCAACACAGTACTCACTTCCATGGTCCACTACAGTACTCACCTCTACAGTTTACCACAAACTTTGTAGTGAACTAGTACTTTGTAATAATGTGGAAAGACAATGTCGATTTGCTTTAAATTAAAAAGTGAAACTTGAAAATTTTTAAGATAGATTTTTTTTTTGGGGAGGGGGTCTGGTTAAGGAAGTAGTAGTTTATTACCTTCTGGGATACAATGAATTTATTACACTTTGGACTTAAGGACGTTCCCCTGCAGACATTCTCAAGTGTCGTGTATAGTGTGTTCCATCCTGGATCTGCTCAGTATTTTCTATCAAATCTCTTTTCCATCTTCAGTTTGCTCCTTTGAAAAGGGAAAACAAGATTGCTTTCTTGAGTATCTGTGTTGATATGCGGGTTAATATATTTTGGAAACTATGGAAACTAATAGTCTTTAATATTTTCAGTTTTTAACTTTCCTTTTAATATTATTACTTGAAATCTACAATTTTTTTTTAAAATGCAGAGGAGTCTTTTGTAGCCTTTTCTTGACTTTGAAATATAATTTAATTAACTGTACATGTGCAGTTCATTTTATAAATGATTGTACAAAACATTAATCTTGACAAAAGTGACATTTAATAGAACAAGAGCTAATGTTGCTTTATCTTGGGCACAGTGGCTGTGCCTTAATCTACTGTTATTTCACTAACGATTGCACCTCTGTAGTTACTGGCCTGCTTCTCTGGAAGCAACCTGGCCGCTCTGGCTGCAGCCTGGCAGGAATTCTGTTCCTGCAGGCACTGGCCCTGCTGCCGCCGCCATGAAAGGTAGCGTTAACTAAATCTCTATCATTCTGTTTCTAAATAAGACTCGAGATTCAAAGGTTGGGGTAGTTCAGAGATGCTGAGTAGCAACTAGCCAACCCTCTCTCCTTACCAGCATCTCCTAAAAAGGACTGTCTTTCCCCTCAGCAAAAACAAAAAAAGCCATGCAAATCAAAACCCCTCCATATTACTTCTGGGGCATCTCTCTACCTCTTCCAGGTGCTTTTGGATGCTCTATGATTACTTTCTGTCAACTAGTTGCTAACTCAGCCTCCTGACCCAAGGTTAAATTTATTTAATTAAAATTAAAAGCAAATGCTAATTTGGGGTTCACACTGTAATCGAATATCCCCCAATAAGCTAATAGATCTCTAAAGGCTGGCTGCAAAACTCTAGGTGAACCAACAGATTGATTTTGAGAGACAGCCATTTCAAAGCAGCCTGGGCTGTGATTAAAGCTTCAATTTAGAAATCATCAAACAAGGCTGAAAAAGAGAAAAGCTTTGGCAGTACATGTGGGAATCTTAGGGACAAAATTGCGTTTAACTAGAGAGATTAGTGTTAATGTGCAGGAAGTGGACTTGGGGTGAGCATGGCTGAGGGGAGAAGTTGGCATCAGTGAAGGGCAGCTACCAATGGATGAATAATACGTGCAGAAATGGAAAGAACAAACTTGGAGTGGGGGCGCTAACTGACTGATGTGCAAAGGTGAAGGATGAGTTCAAAGAAGGAGTCACATTTTCCAGCTTAAGCAGATGCATTTCTTGAAGTGGGGATGCCTGCAGGTAAGGAGGTAGGCTTAGGTCATTTAAAGCCCAATTGGCCGTTTCCTTTAAAGATTTTCTTACTGGGAGTGAAGAGTCACCTGATCTAACATCTGTCCTATGAGGATCCCTCTGTACTGAGAAAGGACCATGAATTCCAAAGGAGGACAGTGCAACATTGAATAAGGAGAGTGGGGACCAAAACTACTGAGACCAAAGATAAAGCAGGGGGGCAGAGGGGCACAGAAGCCCTTTGGACGTGTTGTTAAGGTAAATGCAACAGGAGGTCATGGAGAAGTAAACGTGGCCTTGTGAGAAAAAGAAGAAGTAAGGATGCCGCTAAAATGTCTGGAACATCTCTAAGGATAGGTTTGCCCTCTTCTGCGATCTAAGAATCTGGGAAGGAGTAGATTTGGTGAGCAAGTTGAATGTCAGGAGTTAATTTTAGCTCTAGCTGTCTATTAGATCTTTGGAAGGATGTGCTGAGTAGGCAGCTGAAGGACCAAGGTAAAGATGGAAATGTGACCATCATCATCTAGACCAGTGATTCTCAACCTTCTTAACACTGTGACCCTTTAATACAGTTCTTCATGTTGTGGTGACCCCCAACCATGACATTATTTCTGTTGATACTTCATAACTGTAATTTTGCAACTGTAATAAATCATAGTGTAAACATCTGACATGCAGGATAGCTGATATGGAACCCTGCGAATGGGTTGATCCACTCCCAAAGGGGCCGAGACCCACATGTTGAGAACAATGGATATGG